ACACGCCTGATACCTCCCCCCACCCCCACATGTTCGTAAGCATATGTGTTCCCCTCACCTGTCCTGTCCTTACGTCTTGTCCACGGTTTGTCTGCGCGAAAATCGCCGCCACAAGCCCCACAACTGCCAACCACGAGTGCACATGTACAGCCATGACGTCTTCCGAACGCGTCTACCAAAAACTGTGAAAAAGTCTTTAACGTTTGTCCGGACTTGTTGCTGCTTCTGACGACCCTGGCTCAGGTAGCAGGTATGAATTACTCAATGTCACGTGAGTTTCATTGTCTACTGAAACATGATGCTCGTCAATTGCGTCAGCAGAACCCACTGCACATGCGCAAACCCTGTAATGTACTATAGTATCGTGCACAGCACTTTGGCAGAACGTTCCGTCTATAGATTTTGAAATATTGAATGGAAGTTTATTGCAAGTTCCTGCCCGTATATAGGCTAATTGCAAGTAAGGCCACATGTTGATTTGATTATATGGAGGACATGCGCACGCACATGAATGTACCTACCCACCTACCAAATATGAAGTCAATCCTTCAAGTCTTCTAAAGTTATCGTGTTTACACACACACACACACACACACACACACACACACACACACACACACACACACACACACACACACACACACGAACGCTCCCGAAAACATAACCTTCTTGGCCAATGATATTGCCCTGTCCTATATTTGTCCTCTGCGTTGGTGGCGGCATGAAATAAGTTGATATAACTTGAGTGTGTCGTCACCATGTCCAGTCATGAAATGATGGTATTTTTAAACAAGTATGATGTTTTTAAAAAAACACAGGCGACGATTTTGTGTTTAACTGTTCCGTTCTTTATAAATCGTTTTTTTTTTTTCAAATACGTACACATATAATTCAGAAAGAATCCAGAATTTCTGTACAGTACGAGGAAAGCCGTCAGGGGTCCAAAATCAGTTAGACCCAGGTAAATTTATGTTGTGTTTCTAGCCCTTGAAAAATTAGAATCGGTAGATAGGGATTCACCTTTTTTATCTGTCTTTTGTTTTTTTCATAGATCTTTATAATTAGTGATCCAACTAATACAGTTAATATAACAATGAAATGTATAAGTACACTGGTATCTTTAACACCACCCTAATTTCGCCCCTAGAGATATAATAGTGAAACGCCGTCTTGGGATTACCTTAAATTCCCGAAAGTACGCACCCCTTGTGCTTCTGTGCATGTAGCATGTATGTCTTAAAAACAGTTAGTTCTAGAAAATATCGTTTAAAAATAAATTTAGGCCGTGTACTATATACGTGATTGCATGATAACTGGATACAGTATTGTAGCGGGAAGCGTTTCGTGTTGGGGCTAGTTTTCATCGCTGGCTGCAGCCGATTTGCAAGACGTCACCACCGCATCGAAGGGTAAGGCAAGTGCGGCGAAACGTACAGCTTTGGATCACGGAGAGTGTTGGTGATCAAGCAAGCAATGGTCAATAAAGATTTGTGAATATTTCAATAATGGTTTTATCGGTAACAAGGGTTATAATGTTGATGCACAAGTACGTAGCTTTGTTGTTCTTTACTTCTATACGAAATGCGCCGAACACTTTAATAGGGCCCGCGCCCCGGTCGAACCATAGAGAGCAACAATCATCGAGGCGGAGGTCTGGGCGGAGTTAATGAATGAATGAATGAATAAAGACCTTTATTGTGGTCACAAAAAGGATGGAATATAGATAACAAATATGTTAATGCTACTGTGGGTGTAGAAGTGCTACCGGATAATCAAAGGAATTATATACACTTCAAATATGTATTAATTTGTACTCCGTAAAACCAAGGACATTATACACACATAATGTCCTTGGTAAAACTGAGTCTGTTCAGAGGAAAGAAATACTTCCTTCTCGGGGCCAAGGTTCTGGAAAGCAGTCCTCAGCGCTGCCACGGCCCTCTCTTCGTTCTTCAGCTGTATGTGCACTTTGCAGGGGAAAAAGATCGGCGTGCACAAGACAACGGGCGCAGCATGATTCAAAGTTTATTTTATTTACGCCCTTATTCACGCCGATCAAAAGAAACTACGACAATTCGGTACGTGCAGGCCCGTGCACGTGGCGACACAGGCTGGCTTCCCGCTCTAGCTGTGGGTTCCCACGATGTGTTGCCAAGGGCAGCGGCACGTACACAGACCTACCGGCGGATCCCACCCACCGGCCGACGGTAAGATTGTCAAAGACTACATTTTTAACTCCGCCCCTATCATTGTTGTGTGCCGAACAGTCGAGTACATCTAACTTGCATTTTCACGTCGTACTGACTGGTATAGCCCGCTACAAAGTAATTTCCTGTTGCATTAAACAAGATTTAAAAAGATTTGTGATACGAAAAGAAATATTGATAACAATTTATGTTAACTGAACCTTTGTAACGGCATGGAGATAATCTTTGTTGAAGATTTCTGAGTTCAACGCAAGCCGGAAGTGCAATAGAACTGACCATCAGTCGAGGTACAGCTATTATGTTATCACCTGTTACGTTACGACGATCAAGAACGTTCACGGCTTGTGGACCATTTCAAATATTACCACTCATAAACCCTCTTATAATTTCATATGTACTTA